GAAATGAAGCACAGAGATGATCAGATTCTTTCCTGGAGCCACACATTGGACTCAGCCAATCAAGCTAGCTCTGATTTGGAGGAGCACTGGCTTCACTACTAACTGGGCATAAGCCCAGTCTCCTTATTGGTAACACATGGGTTCTCTCCTGTCCCTCCCAGCTCCATGAGTTGGAAATTCAAAAGGGAGAAATAAAAGGAAAGAGATTGGAATGAGACAGACCTGAGCACCCATGTCCAGTCTGTGACTGACCAGGCAGTATGCCCTTGTTCAGTTTATTTTAACTTCCTTTGCCTTATTTTCTTCCTCTGTGAAATGTGGGTATTAATTCATACCTCATAGAAAAATCTAAGGATTTAATAAAATAATAAATGTAAAAGTGACCCCATACAGGACCTAGTATACTAGGATATGGTAGCTGTACCTCTCTTCTTGCTGTGATTTTAGCCATGAGATTTAACTGTGGACACTAGTTATCATTTTAAAACTATTTGGTTTGCCCTCTGTTCTCTGTGCCTACCATTAACGGTATGTTCTGGTGATAAGAGCCACAACCTAAAACATTCAGCGAAAGGGAGAAATCAGGGGGACAAGAGACCTAGAGAATCAGATTCATTGCTATCACAGCAGTTCTGGAGCAACTCCTTCTTTTCAGTGAGAAGGCAGCTCTTTAGTGGTTAAAGATCTGTAGAGTTGTCACATGTAACCCACTAATCATAGATCACTTTCTAGATGACTCAAACTTTCCGCTGAAAGACTTTGCTTTCGACTCTTGCCCCTAAGAAGGCTCCTTCCTCAATGAAAGGGTGAGTTCAAGGCCTTTGGCTCAAAATACAACTGGACTGCATTAAATACCAGTTGCTTTCAAGCTGCTTTCTAAATCTAGCCCTGGAGCGTCTCTGGTTTCACATAGGGACGCAGAAGTGCCCCAGCACACACTTAATACTCACTGTGCTGTGGGTGACCACGGAGTGACCCAGGAGTGACGTGTGGGCAACCCTCCTGGAGCCAACACAACAGAAACTTCGCCCACTGGAGGTCACAGCAATGTCCTCAGCAGATACTCTGGACACTTGAATATTATAATTTTATTTTGAAATTATCCTTTCAAAAAATGTCTAAGTGGAAGCAATTAAACTTTGGGAAAGTCAAACAAATGCTGCTAGCAAACAAACCCCAACCAGAAACCAAGCTTTGTTTGGCTCTAGATGTAAAATCTAGGCAAAATCTGGGTGAGGTCAGATTCGCAAGCTTAGCCACAGCACCAAGGAGGCAGCAGAGTCAAATGCTTTCATTGGTAATTAATAAACGCTATTTCTCAGAAAGAATTTTTGTAGATTGTATCATAAAGTTCCCAATGAAGAAACAATGTGTTCTGTGAAAATTAAAGAGTTGGTATTTAGAAAGTCATTTCTAGACTTCTCTAATAATTTGTGAAGGACAGGGTGAATAATTACCTCAGAATGGGCTGCCAGGAGGTGGCCCTGATGTTATCACAGATAAACACTCTCAATGGCATTGCCAGTAGTAGGCGTTACAGTAAGTAAAAAACCTCAAAGAACTTGGATATTAGTGAAATTAGATTGTGTCTGGGAGATGAACTATGAAATGAAAGCATCATGGCTCAGAGGGGCTGCCTTAGGAGATGGAACAGATGTCCAGCCAAGGACACTTACTCCATTGTAACAAAACCAAAAGTTTTGGATTTCCTAATCTAATCCCCCTGGACCTAATCTAGCCCAGTCTAAGGAGAGGTGCGCAGTCCTTGTTCTAGCCGTATCATCATTTAGATCAAGATACATCGGCTTCTCTCAACCTAAAGGCAATAAACCAGTGGTTCTCAAATGTCAGCAGTCATCAGAGGTGTTTGTTAAAAATACAGATTCCCGGGGGGCCGGCCCAGTGGCACAGCAGCTAAGTGTGCACGCTCTGCTTCGGCAGCCCGGGGTTCCCTGGTTCAGATCCCAGGCGCACACCGACGCACTGCTTATCAAACCATGCTGTGGCAGCATCCCATATAAAGTACAGGAAGATGGGCACGAATGTTAGCCCAGGGCCAGTCTTCCTCAGCAAAAAAGAGGAGGATTGGCATTGGATGTTAGATCAGGGCTGATCTTCCTCACAAAAAGAAAAAAAAATACAGATTCCTAGGCTTGAGTCCCAGAGAATCTGGGTCAGTCGTTCTGGGATGGGGTTTGGACATCTGAATACTCATCAAGCTCATCAGGGTGATTCTGAGGCACGTGCTTGAGGGTCACACTCTGAGAAACTAAATATCTGAACCCACGGCAGTCTGGAATCTAGGTGCCCCTGGCAACTTCCCGACAACTTGGCCTTTGGTGAAGAAAGTACGTGCAGGCCTGATGACTCTAGTACCTTGCTCAACAGTTAGAGATTCTCATTGTGAACAGACAGATTGACTTCTATCTTCAAGTACAGGCCTCCTTCACTTGGTCAACCTACCCTGGATGTCTTGGATTACTTTTCAAGAGCCTTTTCCCCTCTGTACTATCTATTTTTGCATAAAACCCTCATGATAAAATATTGTGTGCCAGATGAATTAACTAATTAACTGTAAAACGGGGGAAATAAAAAACATAATATTTGCAGGTTCTTTGGTTAGGCACAATCTCCAAAAGCAAAATATCACACCCAGAGGCAATAAAAGAGTGTGTTAGTGGGTTTGGCATCATAAAAATTTAAAACTGTATATGATAAAAGATACCATAATCTAAAAAATTTTAAGTGACAGAATGGAAGAAAATATTTGCTTTTTACGTAATATTCAAAAGTTTAGATAATTTAATGAGTTTCTACAAATCAACATGTCATCCTAAGGAAAAATGGAGAAGACACAATATTTGTATACAATAATTGGGACATACTTATGACAAAATTATTCATTGTTTATATGAAATTGAAATTTAAGTGGGTGTCCTGTATTTTTTTTAAGTCTAGCAACCCTTACAGGACATGAACTTCCAATTTACAGTGTGAGAAACACTAATGATCCACAATCATTGAAAAGATGCTTGCAATCATCATGCTAATTAAAACAAACATGAGTAATCCTTTTTTTGCTCATTAGATTGGAAAATATTAAGAAAACAATATCTCTTGTTGACAATACAAGGAAAACTGCACTCAATACACTGTCTATGGAAATGTAAGCCCATAAAGACTTTCTGGAAAATCTTGGCAGCTGTGATGTAAAGACTAAAATTCAGGTCCAATAATACTTGCTACCTTGACATTTGGTAAAACTGTGAGGGTCTTGAATGGCCTAACTGCAAGCTCCCCTCACCAGTCTGACCCCATGGATAAAGTCCTCCAGCCAAATTACGCTCCTTATCAAGGGGACCAGGTACAGTTCCTGCTTATCCCTGAGTATTGTGTGTGAGCCCCCTGCCAGCCCCTGGAATTAGTCAAACAAGCCAATCACGTCATCCTGTGGGAACCAGGAAGCACCCCATCCTCTTAATACTGCAAAACCTGCCTCCCACACCACTGGTTGTTCCCTCTGTTCCGGAGTACAGCCCCCATGTGGCTCCGCATGGGTGCAGTGTCCTCCTCCCCGGGCTGGGAGTGTATGTGATTAACAAACTGTTATTGATCCATCTGTCTAGTGTCAGGTGTCGCTCCATAACGCTAGCTCAGAATCCCTCCTTCATCAATTGGGTGAAAAGGAGGTGATTAAAACAGAAGTAACCTTCAAATTTTTAAGTATACCTGCTTTTTAACCCAGAAATTTCACTTCCAAGAATATATCCTATAAAAATATTCACAAATTCAAAAAGAGATGCACACATAAACAAGACTTTCCATTACAACATTGTTTTAAAAGTGAAATATTGCCAACAACCTGAACATGAATCCATCAGGAAATGGTTAAATAAATTATTGTAAACGTAATCTGTGAAATACTATGCAACAGTTGAAAAGACCTAGAAAGAATTCCAAGACTTGATACATCCAAGCAACACAGATAATATAATCCCATCCAATTTATGTAAAGTAATATAATCTACATCTGCGTATATATATGCGTGTGCATATAATGAAGATGAGGAGGGAAAACCCCCAACTGAACAAAGGGGTCACTTCTTGCATAGAGAGTGAGGAGCCGGACAACGGCGGCTTTTGTGCTCTTATGCTGTATAATTTTGTACTGTGTGAGTCTTTTACATTGAAAATGCATTCTAGTATTACTTATGTGATGTGATATAAATTTTAAAATAAGAAAAGTATATCAAAGTATATCTAAAAAGTCTCATGGACTAACACTTTGTGAAGGTTTGTAGTAAGGTAAAGAAACTGAGCAATGAGATGACTAATCAGGAAAATTCCAGCGTCTCCAGCCAAAGACATTTCTTGGGCCTTTAATGTTACCTGTTGATCTAGCCTGTAAGTCGTCCTTGACTTCTCTGCAGAAGGACTCCTAAGCAAAAATGCCTCTTTCACATTTTCTGTATGAGTCATGCAATCGAGACTGAGGTACAAGCTAATGCATTTTTGCAAATCCTGTCATCTCTCTTCCTACCCCTATCTTTTATTTAACTTCATCATCTAATGCATCACATTGAAAAAAAAAAGCATATAAAGGAAATGAGAGTGAGGTCTGCTGAATGTGAGAAAATAAAAACATAAGTACTGCTCGTCCTAGTATGAAAACCCAGAAGAGCCTTTAGCAACAGCTTCTACTTGCTAACTGAAAGACAGAATTTAACTAAAGAATTATATGTTCTCTCTTCTTTTTCTCTCTTTAAAGAAGCTAGTTGGCTAGTGAATGACAAACAGTGTTAGTGAGCAATTATGCACACAACATAGATCCTAAGGGAAATTGTCAGAACTTGGGCCACACTGAGTTGACCAAAGCCTATCTCCATCCTGCTGTGGCCCAGTCCTGCTCAGCCTTCTCCATTAGTGCTGAGGACAGACTCCTATCCCCAGGCACACCCCAGACCCCTCATCTCCCTGGGGACGCGTCATTGACATCTCACCACAGTAATGCCATCATTGAGAAGGGCCTCCCCAAAGATCATCATATAGAGCGGCTCGTTCACACGCGCCTCCTCGAACACAGCCAACACGGCCACCGGGTCCACAGCTGAGATCAGGCTGCCAAACAGCAGGTTCTGAAGCAGGTTGACGTCACTGAGGCCAAAGGCCTTGATCTGGCAGATGAGGTAGAGGGAGAGGCCAATGCCAAAGGCGTTGATCAGGGCCCCCAGACATGCCCACCACAGGATGGAGCCGATGTTCTCAAAGAAGGGCCGGGTGGGCATAAAGTAACCGCCCTCCAGGACAATGGGTGGAAGGAGATATAAGAAGTAGATGCTCGAATCCATGACCGGAGGTGATTTATGGTCGGTGCCAAAGATGATGGCACCCACCAGAGCCCCAACGGTGATAAGGAGGCAGCTTTCCGGCATGAGGCCTGGCAATCTGTGGTAAAGATGGAAGCCTGTGGAAGAACAGAGATCCACATTTAGATGTTTGCAAATAAAACAGTTCTGGCCACTAAGATCCCAGGAGACGAGTGTACAAGAGATCTTTCAAAGTTAAGCAGATGGGGCCTTGGCCAAGCTGACTGGCATCTCTGGGCCTCAGCATCCCATCTGCCGCAGGATCTGGGAGTGTTGCCGGGGCTTTAAACAAGATCAAGTGCTTAACATGCCAGGTCCAGCCTGCTAGTCCCCTTCCCCTTCCTCTTTCCTGCTTTCCCATCTTACGGGGATCCGAGAGGCGCATTAGAGAAGAGGAGAGAAGAGGGTGGAACTCTTCTGCACTCATGCAAAACCCACCTTTAAAGCCCATGCAGTCGATCACAGTCACTTAAACCTCAGCTTGTTCCAAACCTTACCTCACTTCCCTCTCCACCAAAAAACAACCAAAAATTGAGTCCTTTATTTTGTTTCCCTTATTTAACCAATGACATTGCATCCAGTCAGGCACTTAAGAGGGAAATCAAGTCACATTCTCATGAAGCCCTTCCTCCACCACCTTTGCCCCTTCATGCAGTCAGCTCCCCATTTCATCACTTCTGTCTCTCATTAGCTGCCTTAAAGACCCTCCCCTCCTCTCCGTTTCTACAGCCACTGTCTTTTTGAGGGCCTCCCTACTTCGCATCCTAATTACTGCATTGTCGTCCTGATCTCTTTCCTCATCCTCAAGCCCCCAGTCCATTCCACATCCTGCGGCCAGATGACTTTTCTATACCACAAGTATCTGATTGTCTCATTCCCCACCTAAGACCCTGAAGGCACACAGAGCATCGCATGGATTTTACACTGGGGGTATTTGTTAAGCATCCCTGTGCCAAGACCAACCCACTGGCAAGTATTGTGAGGTGGAGGACCAAACATGTTTTCTACAATTCCAACTGTTGACAAAATTTTAGACATAAGACATTTACAAGTAAGAATATAAAAACAATACAATGTATAAGTATATAATGCCATGCATATTGAATAAATCAACAAATATGATAAGAGATCAGAGCACAGGGGGTCACCCTGGGGCTCTCTCCTAGTCAATATTTCACACACCCTGCACTATCTTTATACATCCCACAATCCAACATTATAGTCAACCACAGGCCTTTTCATCCTGCAGGCCCTCTTCCTTGTCTTTGTATACTGTTATTGCTGCCTGGATTATCCTTTTCTTCAACCTGTTTTCGTCCTGCTCAATCTTTGAGGTTAAGATTTTGCCAACCACTTCCCAAGGAAATAATACGTCTTCCTCTGAATTATTATAACATTTTGTCTCTAACTGTCTAATAAGAATGATCTTTTTCTACCATTTTTTGTGCACGACTTGTCTCTCCTACTAATCTCTAAACTCCTCAAACACTGGCAGAATGATATACATCTTTATATCTCCCCAAAGCCCTTAGCAAGTTGTCATTTCCCAACAGCTGGTCTATTTGCTGAAAGAATCTACAAGTTAATAAATGAATGAATGAACAGGTTAAATGTTCATCAGAGAAGCTTTTACATGGGAAATAGAAGTTGAACAGGTTATTGAAGAATGAGTAGGGCTTACATAGTTGAACAACACAATGGAAGATATTTTAGGCGGGGAGAACTCCAAGAAACAAGAAGAGAGACAAGATGGCCCAGTCAGATATTTGACGTTCATTGAGGAGATCCACCTGCCTGGAGCAAATTTTGAATTGGAAAGAGCATTGGAAAAAGAGTCGGAAGATGATTTTGAGCCAAATAACGGAGGGCCTTGAATTCAAGGCTAAGGAGTATAGGCTTGCTCCCATGGGCCATAGAGAGGCATTGAATGTCTCCTTAGGAATTTTTAGGTTCAGCCATCCAATGAGCATGTGGGTTTTCCTGCCCACAGCTTTGAACTTCTCCATTCACTATCAGCAGGCAGGTGATTACAATGGAGTATCACTAGTATCAAGCGACACTATTCCAAACCACAAGCCTGGCCCACTGGCTTCAAGACTAGCTGAAATTCTCCTTCTAGAGTCCTGCTCTCTCCACTTCCTAATGACACCTTTGTCCTCTCCCTCCTCCTCCTCCTCCCCCTTCTCTCCTCCTACTTCCTCTCCTCCTCCTCCTCCCTCTTCTTCTTCCTCTTCTCCTTCTTCTCCTCCATTCTCCTTTTGCATTTAGTGCTTATTTTAACCACACTGAACTTTTTAATATGTAAAATAGGTGCAAGAGCCCGTAGTGTGATTTTCTCAGGCCCTGTGTCTCCCCAGTTTGGTCCTGTTTCCACGAATCGAGTTTCCTGAAATGGATCCGACACGTACCTGCCTTAAGCCAAGTTGCATCTACACAGCAGTAGCATGAAGAGGCTTCATGCCTGTGAATCGGGCACTGTAAAGGGACATTCTATGTGCATTTCACATTTCACAACTCTCTCCCCTTTCACAATTGACAATAAAGTCAGTTACTTGGAGATTTTTACAGTTCCAGTGTCTGAAACTTAAATGGCACAAATAACAAAGTCCTGCCTGAAAGTCAAAGACGGCCCTACAATTCTATTCTGCCCAATGATTCAAGGAACATCTTTTTATAATGTTCCAAGAAGTGAAACTAAAATAAAAAATAAACAAAAGTCTGAGGTGACTTTGTATTATCTTTGTTCTATAATATCATTCTTTTATAACATGTAGAGTTTAGTGTTTTAAAAAGGATTGGGGACAGTTGCAATGTTTTTCTGTCAGACAGTGCTGGATTTGACTTTAAACTAAGGTTTTAAACTAAGTTTCTTGAGGGCAGGGACCACGGTCATTCACACATATTGCATGGGCATTCAATAAATGTGTCTTGATAGAATGACTGAATAAAAGAATAATAATAGTAATGATTATTAATTACATTTTGATTCAAGTTTTATAATATAGAATCTAACAAATCTATATGGGTTCCTTACGTGTTAAAGTTTTATGCCATTTTTTTTTGCCGGAGGTGACTGAGGCGACATATAAAACTATGAGCCCAGCACAAACAATATTTCTAAAGAACAATTTATGCTTTATGCAAATATAAAGCCAAGATAAAATATATCTTTTCTGCATTGAGACGTTTACTGATATAGAATGTAAGCCTCTTTTCCATTAGAAAATAATTATCTGAACCAAAAGAGGTCTTAGAAATAATTTCACAGGTGAACAAACTGAGACTTAGAAAGACAAAGTGACTAGCTAGTCAGCAGCAGATCTAGTTTCCTGATTCCCAGACCAACTTCACCCATTACTGTAAAAAAGGAAAGGAGTGGGCGGCCAGAATCTCTATCATTGCTTACAAAGGAAAACTCAAAATGCATATATACGATCACATTGAATATTCTCCGAGTCCATGTGGTTGCATGAAAGGTATTAGACCCCTAGCTCTGAATTGAGAATATTATCCCTTTAGAAAGCCATTTTACCTGAGCACTTTTTAGAAATAATGTGAGACACTTTGTGTAATTTAATCATTTGACAAATCACACAAGTGTTCTTCAAGCTAACAACTTCCATTCAATCTTCACACCTTACTAGCTCCAAATGAACAGTAGTTATGAAGGAGCAACTGATGAATACACCAGTACCCCCAACATCCGTGGGGAGGGAGCAAGATGAATAGACAGAGCCCACAGTTCTGATGCCAAGGAGTTAACTGCCAGATCTCATGGCTCAACCCATATTTCACACCCATTCTAGAGGAAAAATGTAAATAAGCATCAAAATGTTTCACAGATTCTATCCCAATACAGCAATTTATCTACTCAAATAAAAAAGTTCATTACTGAGGTAGAGGAGATGTTATGCTTAATAATTGAGATAATTGTATCAGTTTTCCACTTTGGAATAAGCTGGTTTTAAGGCGACAAGGGGTGGAGATAGGGATTAAATGGTCAGAGCGTAAACCATCACTTTAGTTTTTGGCCCAAAGAACTCTGATTAGAATTTAGACCATTAACTTGAATTCACCTTATTTCACAAGGGAAACCAGAGGTGCCCCACTGGTTCCATTTGGCTCAGGTGTAAACCAATATTTTACTGACAGATATCATCTCATATGCCCCCGTATCCCATCACAGAGTGATATAAGAGTCGTCTGTGGTTGTCTTGTTCCTTGCTTTCTGCCAATTTGCAAGGAGCACGTGCCACTTATAAAGAATAAACAATGGGAGTCATTGATGAAGCCCAAGGTTACATGGCCGAGAATTAAGGAAGAATTTTATGTGGTTCCTGAAATTTCCAGTGAGCATCATTCTAAGGTCTACATGTCTTACTGTCTATTTTTTAAGGCATAGAACTCGAGATTTTTACATGCCAAATAATGTCACATGGTTGCCACCCTGAAACGAAAAGAAATCAAAACAACCCATGATCCAGAAGTATGATTTTAAATTTGAAAGCACAATCCTGAAGTATTAAATGGCTTCATAAAAAGCAGTTATGACTTTCCCTTGACTCCACGGTACAGAAGTTTTGATGTAATAGCAGTAACAGTTAAAATCCACTTAGCTCACTGTCCAGAAGGCATTTTCACATACATTATCTTATGTGGAAAACTACTCCCACAACCAGGTGTTTGGGGACTTACCTATTTTTGCAAGGGATGCTAGAAGTATCCAGAGGGTGACCTCATAAGGAATTTGCACGTAGTCATAATCCAGTGCAAAAACAGCTATCTTCTCATCTGGCTCTGAGCTGGCAGCAGCAAACTGAACATTAGGTTCACGCTGGGCAGTGGAATTTGTGAATTCATTCATATCAGAAGATGCTTCAGAACACTTGAGGGCCACTAGCAATAGCAACCAATTCCAAAGACCAAAAGGTACAAACCCCTGAAAACCCATGCTGTGGGCTTATCCTACCTTGTGTGCCGTTGCGCGCACACATCTGAAGTGAGGAGAGTTTCTAGAGAGCAGTGGTATCCACATGGGTCAAAGGTAATATACGTACAGTCCATGGGTCCTTCCAAGAAGAGTCCGAGAGTGCCATTGAGTTCTGATTATAGATGCTTTCAAATCGTCATTAGAGGATTTGTGTTCAGGCAACACAGCTTCTGGCTCAAATGCAGTCAGTCATTCAATAGACTTGTCAAAACCCAGGGAACTGCCTGTGTGACGTTCATCCAACCATGATTTGAAAAACAATTTATGAAGAGGAAAATATCTCTTCATTTGAAATTGTTTCCTCACTTCTCTGCACGCTGGTTTCATCTTGTGAGTGAAATTAAAAAGGACACCATTGTGCTCATTCCAGATATCAGTGGAGTCCTTCTAACTAGGAAGGGAATCCTTCTCTCTTTACCAGATCCCAGTAAGGAGCTACCTATCCTGCACCTGCTCCTTCTCTCCTCCCCGTGCTCTCTCATTTGTTTTGAATGGTCGAGGCTGCAGGTAGCTCTTGAGCTACGCTTAATTATTTGTTGTGATTTGACTTTTGTAATGAAATGCTTTCCCTGAGTGTTCTCCAAAGGTTACACTTCTGACACCTAGTGGGCAGCCGCAACACAACACCTTAGCATGTTTAATGATGAACAATTAAAATGACTATGTAATTATCATCCAAATCAGGGCACTTGTGAGTAAAGAAGAGCTATTACTAATTATGCCAGAGTTTGGAAGATGGCCATGTAGGAGGATCCTGAACTCACCTCCTCCCACATATGCAACAAACCTATAAATACCTGTGGAACAATTTCCTCTGAGCGAGATCTGGAAACTGGATGAAAAAACCCTCCACAACAAGGGACAACACAGAGAAGGGGGAAGAGACAGAGATGCAAACCTTCTGAGGAAAAAACCACACCCTAGCTGTGGCACTTCATGGTAGAAAGCGATCTCAAAGGTACAGAGTTTTCCCGGAGGAGCAGGGGATTCTAGATCCCACATTAGGCATCCAGCCTTTAGATCTAGCACAAGAGAGACAAGATCTCAAAATATGTGGCTTTGAAAACCAACAGAGAATATGCCCAGGAAAACTGTAGAACTTCGGGTAAAGGAAAACCTGCTCTTAAAGGGCCTGTGCACAGGAAACCAACACAAAACACCAGATTGAAAAGTGCATAGTCCATTGGCAAAAGAGACTTGCTAAGCTCAGAGCATATTCCAGAGAGGCAGGAGGTGGCTGGGCCCACCCCCTAGGGATGGAGACACTGGTGGCAGCCATTATTGTGACCTAATTCAGCTGTGCTGACACCAATCCTGGCAGGTGCCATTAGAATTCTTCCTTTAGCCTATAAGCACAGAGGTCTGCCCCACCCGCTAGAGCACCCAAGGTGATTGAACGCCGCCAAGCAGCACAGGTAACCTGCCCTAGGGACGAGCCCCACCCACTAACAAGCCTGCAGCAAACTTACAGCACTGGGCCTCAAAAACAGCCACACAGAGGATCTGCCCCACCTATCAATGCCTGAAATGGTTGAATGCTGCCACACCTGGGGCCTGCCCCACCCATCAGTGCACCTGAGGCAGCTGTGCACCTCAGGGCCACATAGCCAATTCACACCAGGGGCCTGCCCTGCACAAAAACAAGCTGGCGACAGCTGAGCTCATATAGCTAGCCTCACTAGAAGCACCCCCTGCCCACTAACGCATCCAAGGCAACTGAGTACTGTAGGGCCATGTAGCCAGCCATACTGGGGGCCTGCAGCAGTTGTGCACCCTCGGGCCTAGCAACCAGCTGCCCTGGGGCCTGACTCACTCAGAAAACTGCAGTAGTTGTGCCCTACCAGACCTTGCAGCCAGCCATGCCAGGGACTTGCCCCACCCAATAATGTGCCCATAGCAGCCACACGTGGCTGGGCCTCATGACCAGCTGGCCTGGGAGCCAGCCCAGCCAACCCACATGCCTGCAGCAATAGCAGGCTTGCCACAACAGAAGGGCACGTACAGCCCACACAGGGGAGACTCCTGGAGCATTTGTCATGGGGGATGAGAGAGAACATACTGCTGGTCTCCATAAGACATCACCTACATGAGGCTACATTACCAAGATCGGGATACATAGCTAATCTACCTAATACATAGAAATAAGCACAGAGAAGTAGAGAAAGAGAGAAAATGAGAAGACAAAGGAATATGTTCCAAATAAAAGAACAGGACAAATCCTCAGAAAAAGAACTAAATGAAACAGAGATAAACAATCTACCTGATAAAGAGTACAAACTAATGGTCATAAGGATGCTCACTGAACTAGAGAGAAGAATAGGTGAAACACAGTGAGAACTTTAACAAAGAATTAGAAATTAAAAAAAGAATCAATCAGAGCTGAAGAACACAATAATGGAAATGAAAAGTTCAATAGACGGAATAAAGAGCACAGAAGGTGACACAGAAGAATGGATCAGCAATCTGGATGAAAGAGTAGAGTAAATCACCCAAGCTGACCAGAAAAAAGAATTTAAAAAGAATGAGGACAGTTTAAGAGACCTCTGGAACAACATTAAGCATAGTAACATTCACATTGTAGGTTTCAGAGAAGGAGAAGAGAGAGATACAAAAGGACAGGGAACTTATTTGAAGAAATAATAGCCGAAAACTTCCATAACCTGGGGAAGGAAACAGACATCCAGGTACAGGAAGCACAGAGAGGACCAAACAAGATGGACACAAAGAGGGCAACATCAAGACACATTATAATTAAAATGTCAAGGATTAAAGATAAAGAGAGAATCTTAAAAGCTGCAAGAGAAAAGCAACAAAGAGAACCCCATAAGACTATCAGCTGACTCCTCAGCAGAAACCTTACAGGCCAGAAGGGAGTAGCATGATATATTCAAAGTGCCAAAAGGCAAAAACCTACAACTAAGAATACTCTACCTGGTAAGTTTATCATTCAGAATGGAAGGAGAGATAAAGAGTTTTCCAGACAAGCAAAAACTAAAGGAGCTCAACACCACTAAACTGGTCTTACAAGAAATGTTAAAGGAACCTATTTAAGTGGAAAAGACCACAAATAGGAATAAGAAAATTACGAAAGAAAAAATATCACTGGTAAAGGCAAATATACAGTAAAGGTAGTGGATCAACCACCTATAAAGCTAGTATGAAGGTCAAAAGACAAAAGTACTAAAATCATCTATATCTATGGTAAGAGGTTAAGGGATACACAAAAATAAAAGAGGTAAAATATGATGTCAAAAACAAAAAATGTTGGGTGGGGGAGTAAAAGTGTAGGACTTTTAGTAAAACGTCAAACTTAAGAGACCATCAACTTAATATAGATTGCTCATTACATTGGTTATTATATATGAACCTCATGGTAAGCACAAACCAAAAACATATAATAAATACACAAAAAATAAAGAGAAAGGAACCCAAACATAACACTAAAGAAAGCCTTCAAATCACAAGGGAAGAGAGCAAGAGAAGAAGAAAGGAACAGAGAGCTACAAAAACATCCAGAAAAAAAGTAACAAAATGGCAATAAGTATACACTTATTGATAGTACATAGACTAAATACTCCAATCAAAAGACACTTGGTGGCTGAATGAATTAAAAAAAAGACCCATATATATGTTGCATACAAGAGACACACTTCAGAGCTGAAGACATTTACAAGCTGAAAATAAAGGGATGGAAAAAGATATTCCATGCAAATGGAAATTAAAAGAAAGCTGGGGTACCAATACTTATATCAGACAAAATAGACTTTAAACCAAAACTGTAATGAAAGACAAAGAAGGGCATTACATAATGATAAAGGGAATAATCTAAGAAGAGTAAATAACACTTGTAAATATCTATGCACCCAATATAGGAGCACCTAAATATATAAAGCAGTTACTAATAGACATAAAAGGAGAAATTGACAATAACATAATAATAGTAAGGGACTTTAACTCTCCACTTACATCAATGGCTATATCATCCAGACAGAAGATCAAAGGAATCATTGGCCTTAAATGATACATTAGACCAGATGGATTTAATAACCAGATATATACAGAACATTCCTTCTAAAAACTGCAGAATACACATTCTTCTCAAGTGCACATGGAACATTCTCAGGATAGACGACATATTAGGCCACAAAACAAGTCTCAATAAATTTAAGAATATTGAAATAATATTAAGCATCTTTTCCAACCACAGCAGTATGAAACTAGAAAGGAACTACAAGAGGAAAACTGGAAATGTCACAAATATGTGGAATTTAAACAAAATTCTACTGAACAACTATTAGGTACATGAAGGAATTGAAAGAGAAATCAAAAAATACCTGCAGGCAAATGAAAATGAAAGTATGACATACCAAAATCTAAGGGATACAGTAACAATGGTACTAAGAGGGAAATTTATAGTAATACAAGCCTACCTCAAGAAACAAGAAAAATCTCGAATAAACACTCTAACATTATACCTAAAGGAATTAGAAAAAGAATAACAAACAAAGCCCCAAATCAGTAGAAGAAAAGATATAATAAAACTCAGAGTAAAAATAAAAGAAATAGAGAATAAAAGGACAATAGAAACAATCACTAAAACTAAGAGCTGGTTCTTTGAAAAGATAAAAAAAAAAATTGACAAATTTTAGCTAGACTCACGAAGAAAATAAGAAGATTCAAATAAATAAAATCAGAAATGAAAGAGGAGGGGCCGGCCCTGTGGCTTGGAGGTTAAGCGCGTGGGCTCCGCTGCTGGTGGCCCGGGTTCGGATCCTGGGCGCGCACCGACGCACTGCTTCTCCGACCATGCTGGGGCCGCGTCCCACATACAGCAACTGGAAGGCTGTGCAACTATGACATATAACTATCTACTGGGGCTTTGGGGGAAAAAGTAAATAAATAAAATTAAAAAAAAAAAAAAAAGGAAATGAAAGAGGAGAAATTACAACAGACATCACAGAAATACAATTATAAGAGAATACTATGAAAAACTATATGCTAACAAATTGGCAAATCTAGAAGAAATGGATAAATTCTTAGAATCATACAACCTTCCAAAACTGAATCAAGAAGAAATAGAGAATCTGAATACATCGATCACTAGTAGGGAGATTGAAACAGTAATCAAAAACCTCCCAAAAAACAAAAGTCCAGGACCAGACAACTTCCTCAGTGAATTCTACCTAACATTCAAAGAAGATTTAATACCTATCATTCTCAAACTTTTCCAAAAAATTGAAGAGGAGGGAAGGCTTCCTAATTCATTCTATGAGGCCAACATTACCCTGATACCAAAACCAGACAAGGACAACACAAGAAAAGAAAATTACAGGCCAATATCACTGAAGAACATAAATGCAAAAATCCTGAATGAAATATTAGCAAATTTAATACAACAGTGCATTAAAAGGATCATACACCATAATCAAGTGGGCTTTACTCCAGGGATGCAGGGTGGTTCAATATCAC